ACTCCCCAAGTGACTGCAATGGCCAGTGCTGCGCCGATCTGAAGCCAGGAGTCAGGAACTTCCTCTAGGTCTCCCACGCAGGTGCAGGGTCCCAAGGCTTTGAGTTGTCCTTGACTGCTTTCCCAGGCCACAGGCAGGGGGCTGGAAGGGAAGTGGAGCTGCTGGGACACAAACCAGGATCCATTCAGGATCCTTGCACATACAAGGTAAGGCTATCGCGCCAGGCTCCCTGCAAAAAAGCCAACATTTTAAAAAAAGATTTATTTATAGTTATTTGAAAGGTATTTATAGTTATTTGAAAGTTATAGCAGAGAAATGGGATAGATAGATCTTCCATTGACCAATTTACTCCCAAATGGCCGCAATGACCAGAACTGGGGTTGTCTGAGATCAGGTGCCAGGAGCTTCCTCTGGGTCTCCCAAGTAGATGCAGGGGCCCAAGAAGTCGAGCCATCTGCTACTGCTTTCCCAGACATATTAGCAAGGAGTTGGATCACCAATGCAACAACTTGAACTGGCAGCCATATCGGAGGCTGGCACTGTGACTTCTAACAAAATTTATCATATATCCATAATATGTATTACATAAACCAAGAGGAATGAAAACATGTATTACTCTGCCTCTTTTTTTTAAAAAAAGATTAATTTATTTATTGGAAAGGCAGATTTACAGAGAGAAGGAGAGACAGAAAGATCTTCTGTTTGCTGGTTCACTCCCCAAGCAATCCTGAACCCAGGAGCCAAGAGTTTCTTCCGGGTCTCCCACGTGGCTGCAGGGTCCCAAGACTTTGGGCCATCTTCCACTGCTTTCCCAGGCCACAAGCACGGAGCTGGATGGGAAGCGGGGCAGCCAGGATACGAACCGGCGCCCATATGGGATCCCAGGCATGCAAGGCAAGGAGTTTTAGCTAACAGACTCTCGGGCTGGACCCATCATCTACCTTTTAAATAAATTAAATACACCTCTTAAAGAAAAGAGAGAAAGCCATATGTGTTTCCATAGCCCCACACGGGAAACAGCTCAAATGCTCATGAATAAGCAAGCATTTAAAGAAATGTATTATTTATATCTATACAGTGGAATACTCCTAAGCATTTTAGAAAATGCAAACTAACTTAAACTGATTTAAAAAAAAACACCCAGCATATCAGTAGCTGCTTGGAGGTGGAATGGCATAGAGGAATATACTGAAAGAGGTAAATTTTTGCATGTTATGAAAACTTATCTTTTGGGGGCCTGGTGTGGTAGCCTAATGGCTAAAGTCCTCGCCTTGCACCGGGATCCCATTAGGGCACTGGTTTCAGTGCTGGGGCTCCACTTCCCTTCCAGCTCCCTGCTTGTCGCCTGGGAAAGCACTGGCACAAAGCCTTGGGACCCTGTACCCATGTGGGAGACCCAGAAGAAGCTCCTGGCTTCAGATCAGCCCAGCTCTGGCTGTTTTGGCCACTTGGGGAGTGAACTAGCAGATGGAAGATCTTCCTCTGTCTCTCCTTTTCCCTGTAAAATTTGACTTTCCAAAAAAAATAATTTTTTTCTTTTCCAGATTGTGGTAATGCTTTCAAGAGTGTTTTCACATATCATAGGGGGTCAAATTACATTTTGCATATGTGAAGTTTGTTACATTTCAGCAATATGGAAACATTTTTCCAATTATATTTCTTCCATTTAGAAATACTGCTAACATTTAAATATAGTATTTTTCTTTAATAATTAACAGTAATATAGCACAGTGGTTTTACAGTTATTTATTTGAAGACGAGAGGGTCAGGGAGCTCCTAGCTGCTGGTTCACTCCCTAAATGCCTGCAGTGGCCCGGGCTGGGCCAAACGGAAAGCAGGAGCTGGGAACTGAATTGAACGATGCAGGCTCCAATGTGACGGCAGGAACCCGGCTACTTTAGCTGTCACTGCTGTCTCCCAGGGTTTATGTTAGCAGGAAGTTCAAGTCAGGAGCCAGGGGCAGCTTCTGTGGCTCCGTGAGTGAAGCTGCAACACCTCACATAGAAATGCCGCTTAAACCCCTGTGGCTTTGCTTCTACTCGAGCTCCCTGCTAAGGATCCTGGGAGACAGCAGGCGATGGTTCAAGTACTTGAGTCCCTGCCACCCTCGAGAGAAGTGTGTAACAGCTATTTGCAATTACTAGGGGGCTGGGGACACGTCCCCAACAGACATGGGCAGACCATCACAATACACTTCTGTTTTTGTTTGTTTGATTTTTAAGATTGATTTACTTATTTGAAAGGTAGCACCCGTGCAGGGCATCTTCCATCCCCTGGTTCACCCACATGGCCACATTACCCAAGGCTGGGCCAGGTCCAAACCAGGAGCCAGAAACTTCATCCGAGTCTCTCGTGGGTGGCAGGGACTCAAGGCTTTGAGCCATCCTACACTGCCTTACCAGGCCACAAGCAGGGAGCTGGATGGGAAGTGGAGCAGGCAGGATACAAACCGGAACCCATATGAGATCCTGGCGCATGCAAGGCAAGCTGAGAACTTTAGCCTCTAAGCTATAGTGCTGGGCTCACTTGTATGTTCTTCTTCTTCTTAATATTTATTTATTTCTATTGGAAAGGCAGATATACAGAGAGGAGGAGAGACAGAGAGGAAGATCTTCTGTCCAATGGTTCACTCCCCAAGCAACCACAATGGCCAGAGCTGAGCCAATCCAAAGCCAGGAGCCAGGATCCTCTTCCGGGTCTCCTACATGGGTGCAGGGTCCCAAGGCTTTGGGCCGTCCTTGACTGCTTTCCCAGGCCACAAGCAGGGAGCTGGATGGGAAACAGGGCTGCCGGGGTTAGAACCAGCAACCATATGGGATCCTGGCATGTGCAAGGCAAAGACTTTAGCCACTATGCTATCGCGCTGGGTCCCACCTTTATGTTCTTATAGGACACACATGGAGACCCAGACTAGTTGTGTATTGAGTGATGTTCTGAAACAAGACCACCTGTGAGGAGGAACAGAGGGTGCCAGATGTGAGAAACTGTTTCAAAGAACTGATATCACCCAAAACCGAAAGCCAGGCATAAACGTAGGTTTCATAAAACAAAGAGCAACAGATGGGTTACTTAATAAATGTTGACAGGAGGAGCAACAGTAAATGGTGATGGCAGTGGCAAGTTAAAGCCATATTTTATCTTCCAAGGACAAAAAGCGCCATAAAAAACAAGGATAGAGAATTATCAGCACATCCAATACAAAATGAAACTGGACCAAATGAGCAGAGAATCTACCTGTCAGACGGCGGAGGAAAGATCGCTGTGTCCGCATGGAGGAAAGAAGGACCTCAACATGATGGCACGCTGGGATGAACCGAAAAGGAAAACCGGCTGCTCCTGAGGAGCAGTGACGGACGCAAGAAATGGCTTGCTCCAGGTTAGGAGGGGCTCGATTCTCTGATGAAGGAAAGAGTCCAGCTGATGGGTCACTCACAGGGGGATCATGCCTCATGGTAAATGCACGCGAAGGCATGGAACGTTTACTCATGGGAGAACCTTGAACTATGAATAGACGTTGAACTATGGGGTGGGGGGGGGTTAGGGAGACTGCAGTGGGTCTCCACAAATGTCTTCTAAACGTCTGACACTTGTTCCTTAGAGGGGCTCCTTGGGCAAGGCCAGCTGGTCCTGTGCAGAACTCAAGGATGCGTCAGGCAACAGGTGTTAAGCAGGAGCAAAAATACGCTAAGGGGAGAAAGTGACTGCATATACCTTCACACCAAAAGTGGTCAGCCAAGGACAGCGTGTCGTGGCTGTGTCGGGGAGGGTCTTCTGAGAGACACACAGCATCCCCTAATAGCACGAGGGGTACTATGATTTTGTTGACTTCTCTCTCTGGTGGCCCTGTGTTAAACGATTCAGTCACTCTGGATTCAAACCCAGCCAGCAGTCTGACTGCGAGCGTTTGGTCGGCAAAAGAGGTCGGCGGGAGCACGACCCGGACCTGCCCCTCGCGGCGGGGGCCGCTCCATCGGAGCCCGGTCGCTGGGTCGGTGGGTGCCCTCCTCCCAATCCGACAGCGGGACTCCGTTCCCGACGGAGCTCTGTCGAGCAGGCGGGGGTCGGGCACCTGCACCTGCTGGGCAAGGGCCGCGCGCAAGGGCTGTGTGTGTGTGTGTGTGTGTGTGTAACTGCCCGTGGGCACGGTGGGCTGCGAGGCCGATCCGCGGCCCCTTCTGAGCTTCAGGTCGTTTTCCGGGGCTCAGAGACGCTTAGCCAAACTCGGATGCGCCCGGCACCTTCCGCTGAATCCCGGGGACTTTGGCGCGTCGCGGGGCTCGTGCGGGACTCGGTGGACTGAGGGGACTCCCACCCCACACCTCCGGGCGTCCACCTGAGTTTGCGGGGACAGCGCGATCCGCACACTCTGTAGGGTCGGGGCCGGGGCGACAGACGCAGCCCTTAGGGGTGGGCGCACCTCGGTCCGCCGCTCGCCCCTAGGCGGTTCCGTGCGGCCGCCCGCTGCGCACGGCCCGGAGGCTCGGGTGGGCTGCCGGCCGCTCCGTCCACCGTGACTGGGCCTTGGCGCGGGGCTGGGGGGTCCGAGCCAGCGCTGGGGAGTCGCGGGGCCGCGTCGGGCCGGCCAGCCCCGCCGATGGCGCGCCGGGGGCCACCGCGCCGTCGGAGCCCTAGGTTGCCACCGCGTGCCCCTCGCCACGCCCTCGGCGGGTGGCGGACTGGGGCGAGCCGGGGATCGGGGGGAGGCGACCGCGCTGGTCCGGAGCGGCCCCTCGCCCGCAACCGCGGCCTGGCGGGGGCAGCGGGGAGGCCCGGCCGGGCTTCGGCACGCGCGCGGCGCGAGGGGCGCGGGCTGCCGGGAGCACCGCGGCGCGGGCGCATGCGCCCTGCGCCCGTGCCATATTGGAATGAGTCGGAGCGCGGAGCGCCGCCGCCGCCGCCGCCTCCGCCGGAGCGCGGGTGGAGGGGGGCGGGGAGAGCTGCCGGCCGCCCCGCTCCGCCGAGCCCAGCAGGAAGGAGGGCGCGAGCGGGCGAGCGCGGGCGGCGCGAGCGGAAAGACGCGCCCGCGCGGGGCAGCGACAAGAGGAAAGAAAAGAAAGAGGACGAGCGCGAGGCGAGGAGGAGAAGGCGAGCGCGCGCGCGAAAACTCCCGGCAGGTAAAAAAGCGGGGCCGCCGGCTGGGCCTTCCCGCGCGGCCGGCCTGGAGGGCGGCGGCGGCGCCGGCGGGGCCGGGGCACGGCGCGGCGGCCCCTTGGAAGCGGCCGCGCAACTTTGCCCACGGAAAGCCCGCGGGGGGCGCGGGGCGGCGACGGCGCCAACGGGTGGCGGCGCGTGGGGGGCGAGGGCGGCGGGGGGGAGAGGCGCCCGCGCGCGCGCTCGCGGCCTCGCGCGCCCCCGCGGCCCCCGCGCGCCGGCCGGCCCGGCTCCTCAGGCGCGCCCGGGCACCTCGCTGACCGTGGCGGCGGCTGTGGTGGCCAAGGCGGCGACAGCGGCGGCCGTCAAGCCCCCGGGAGGCGTGGAAGGAAAGTGCCCGGGCGGCGGCGACGGTGGCGGGCGCCAAGTTCCCCGCCCGCCGAGCCCCGCGGACCCGCCCCCCGGGCTCGCTCCGGGCGGGGCGCGAACCCGCAGCCGAGGCGGTGGAAACTTCGGGGGGCCGGGGCATCCCGGCTGCTGCCTTCGTCCTCGCCGCGGCAACCGCAACCGGTGGCTGGATGCCGCCGGGCAGAAGTGAGCGGGGCCTTCCCTCGCCGGGCAGCGCCGGCTGGGCCCGCGGCGCACCGGATCGGGCCGGCCTTGGCTTTCGCGGCCGTTTTCGGTTCCCGTGTGGAAGTCCGTTTCGGACGCGGAGAAGGGGCGGCTGCGGGGTGGCGAGCCGGGCGCTCCCGTGGAGCGAGGCCTTGCTCCTCTTGCTGGGTGCGGGAGCAGCAACGCCCGCGGGAGCCCAGGAAGGAAATCCCGCGGAAGATGGGGAGAGGTTAAGTTTTTTTTTTTTCCCCCCCACTCAAGATGTCAGCCCTTAACTTGGGGCCCGGACCCCTAGCAGACGCAGGGGGGGCCGGGTGGAAAACGGCCTCGGGCTGGATCGGGCCGGGCCTGGGGGGTGCTGCACCCTGCGCAGGTCGCGCCAGGGATGTTCCCTCGCTGCCCCGCGTGGGGTCAGGAGCCCGTCGTGGCCCGCGCCCTCTCCAGATGTCCGCCCCAACTGCTGGGCAGTCAAGGCGAACGCCCGACGCTCCGTTGGTTGCCGAGTGTGCCCGGCCGCCCGAAGCCGGGCCGAGGTGCGCCACGCTCCCCGCGTGTGCGGGCGGGCATCTGTTGAGTCCTCCGGGCCGCAGGTCAATGCGGCCGGACTTGGGCCCTGGCCCCGGTTCCCCTGTACCCCTTACCCTTCCTGCCTGTGATCCCCCCGCCCCCCTTCATTTGCACGATTAGGGTCTGGAGAGCTCGTCTTCAGTTCTGAGACGCGGAGACTTTTGTAAAGTGAGAAATTAAAAAAAAAAAAAAAACAGACAAACCTGGTTCTTTATTTTTGAAAAGTTGCACTTTAAAAAGCGCTCACGATTTGCATCTTTGTGAAAATACATTTGGAAGGACATCTTGGTAGAGGATAGTTTTATATGATTTATCTGAACAAAGACATTTTGAAGTGTACTTCACTGTTTAAAGAATTGTGTTTTATTGATGTGTTATGTGCCGTCAGGTTTTCTTTACCTCCCCCCTGCCCCCGCGTGCTCAGAACCAGCCGTGGAGCCCACCCGGTCCTACTCGCTCCCCTTGAACCCGTCCCGTCTGGCGGGCAGCTGCCCTCTGACTTCTGCCTTTGGAGAGTGAAAGGGGAGCAGTATTAATGATTAAGCCGAAGGCCTGCCTGTGTGTAAACCTGGGGGTTCCAGACATCGGAGCTGAGCCCCTGCTGCTCTGTGCAGGGGTGCCAGCGGCAGGGTTTTCCCTCTGACTCAAGGCACTTGTCCTAAGGTCACTTGGGTTCCCGGCTCTTGGGAGGCCGTGGGTGGCCGTGGATAGGCTCGTGTTTATCTGTGTCCGCCTGTTGGAGTACAGCTGTGTCTGTGGGCTCCAGGCTTGAAGGGTGAATCATGAACTTCAAGTTCGAGTTTAAGGTGTCAGTAGATGAATGAAGATTGACTCTTTTTTAAAGCTCAGTGAATTAAGAGTGTGGTTTTAAAGCTGTAATGACCTTTTAAATGGCAGCAATTACCTTGATTTATTTATGTGGTTATTCACCTGGTTGATCAAATCATTGGCACTCCACCACTGAAAGCAAAAACAAGGTGGTTAAAACTTGGGTCAGGTGTAGTAATAATGGTAATGAAAAGTGTGACTTATATTAATAAGTTAAAGTGTGGCTGAGACACTTGTTCGTGCTGGACCTTTGAGAAGGTGGACTCTTCGCATTTCCATCCAGCCGAGAGCTGCCGCCGTTTGCTGATCCCTCCTGAATGTGTGTCCGTGTCCGTCCTGCTTCTGCTGGAGTGGAGGAGTTAGTCACTGCAGGGGACATCCCTGTTAGCCCCTGACCCAGGCCTGTGCGGGTCACTGTGTGCTGGGAAGTTGGGGACAGCCTTAGCGTGGAGGTGAGGATCTAGGGGGCTCCTCTGCAAAACACAAAGGTTTTCTTTTTTTTTTTAAGATTTATTTTTATTATTTTTTCATTGGAAAGGCGGATATACAGAGAGGAGAGACAGAGAGGAAGATCTTCCGTCTGATGATTCACTCCCCAAGTGAGCGCAACGGGCCGATACTATGCCGATCCGAAGCCAGGAGCCTCTTCCAGGTCTCCCACATGGGTGCAGGGTCCCAAGGCTTTGGGCCGTCCTCGACTGCTTTCCCAGGCCACAGGCAGGGAGCTGGAAGGGAAGCGGGGCTGCCGGGATTAGAACCAGCGCCCATATGGGATCCCGGGCGTGCAAGGCGAGGACCTTTAACCACTTGCGCCACCATGCCGGGCCCCGCAAAGGTTTTCTTTTGTGGAAATTCCACTGCAGCTCTCTCCATCTTTGGGGCCAGCACCTCAGCCGAGCGTGGTTCCTGTGCCTGAGACCCGCGGCCGCTTTCACCAGCAGAGAACGGGTGCTTCGCTCTTGTTGTTGTCTCTTCTCTCAGTATTGTTTTTCATTTCTTGGCTTCTGCATTGTCTAAATATTTGACATGAAATGTGCTGAATCTTTTTTTATAATAAATTCATCTTATTTCTGATTATGTTTACATAGTCGAGAAGGATGCATGCCCATGTGGACCACTGATTAGGGTCGGAAGGGGGGAGTGGATGAGACAATTGTTCCCATTTTTTTTCTTTCTGTATTTGGGTGAAGGGGAAGAGAAGGGGAGAGGGCTACTGCTAGCATCCTAATCGCATTGGTACCTGGGAAGGGGGGAGTCACTTGATGTCATCCTAGGGTCCCCAATGTGAAGTAGATTCCAGGGACACTGCTTAAGTGGTTTCAGTAGTTCTGAGATGTTGTTGATTTTGTGGCTCCAAGGTTGGGGAAATCCTTCCAAGGTCCATTGGCTGACAGAGTCCACCCTAGAGTCTCCATTCGTCCAGACACTTGTCAGTGCTTGGCAGCGTGAGCTGTCCCATTTGTTCTGCCCTCCATCCTCTGCCATGGTACTGGATGTCCTCAATGAGCTGAAAATGTGTTAAATCTTTAACGAATGCAACTGAAGACCAGTAAATCTAATAGAATATGTAGGGGAGGGCATTTCCTTGTGGATTCTTGATTTCTTCCCAACAGTGTCCTGACTGCAAGAGGCTTTGGCTGGGCTGGTTAGGCTGAGCTGGGAAGTAGTGTGGCTTCATGTGGCATGGGCACCACTGGATCCTGAAACCGATAAGCTGCCTCTGGCTCTGTAGGACTATGTGGCCTGTTCACAGTAAGAGTATATGGTAGGGGGCCCGGCACCGTGGCCTAGTGGCTAAAGTCCTCGCCTTGAACGCGCCGACATCCCGTATGGGTGCCAGTTCTAATCCCGGCAACTCCACTTCCCATCCAGCTCCCTGCTTGAGGCCTGGGAAAGCAGTTGAGGACGGCCCAAAGCTTTGGGACCCTGTACCCGTGTGGGATACCCGGAAGAAGTTCCTGGATCCTGGCTTTGGATCGGCATAGCATCGGCTGTTGCGCTCACTTGGGGAGTGAATCATCAGATGGAAGATCTTCCTCTCTGTCTCTCCTCCTCTCTGCATATCTGACTTTCCGATAAATAAATAAATCTTTTTTTTTTTTTAAGAGTATATGGTAGGACCTCCCTGAATTGGTGTGTAGATAGGCATTTTGAATGTTGAGAATGTTTTCATGATTTCCCAAGCATGTTCCTTTCCGGAATTATCTGGCTGATAACCAGTATTTGAGATTGGCTTAAGTGAGAATAAAAGAAAACACCATACACAGCCTCCTGCCTGGCTGTGGGGTTTGTTTGTTTATTTATTTATTTTCCTTTTAGTCAGTAGCATTTGTTTTCTAACAAGGGTGCTCTTATTTGAAAACAATATTTCTCTGTATACATAGTTGGTAAATTGGATCAAAGTCTCCAGGGATTATGTGTTACCTGGGAGATTCTGAACCTTTAGCTGGCAGGGAGTGGGAGTTTGGTGGGATTCTGCCATTCTTTCCGGGATAACAGCCCCACTGGAAAGTGATCAAAGAATAACAGAAAGGATGGGGTCAGGTTGTTGGAAACTTATGCTGAAACTTTTCGTAAGTGGGAGGAGGGGTAGGAACCGAGGAGGGTTATTAATAGAAACATTGTATGACTTTACTGCAGAAGTGTGTGTTTACATTTATTTGTTTATTTGAGAGGACTTTTGTTTTTTTAAGACTTAAGTATTTGAAAGAGTTACGGAGAGAGAGAATATGAGCGCACTTCATTGGCTCACTCTCCAGGTGACTGAGCCGGGCTGCAGCCAGGAGCTGCTTCCTCGGGTCTCCCACCTGAGTGGCAGGCATGCAGACACTTGCTCCTCTGTTGCTATTCTTCTCCGGCACATTGGTAAGGAGCTGGAGTGGAAGTGGAATAGTCAGGACATGAACTGGTGCCTATATGGAATGCCATAGAGTTGGCACAGTGGTATAGCAAGCTCACCCTCTGCCACTGTGCCAACTTCATTTTTTTTTTTTTTAAAGATTTTGTTTATTTTTCT